AATGTCCTCCACATGTCTACCATAAACCTTTTTGAAAGATTTACTGAGGCTTTGCATGTTGTAACATTGATCAAACAACTTCTGAGCAAGAGTCTCATAAAATACACTCTATATCACAAAATCACAAAACAAACATGAGAATTTGTTTTCTTTCTGTTGAATGTTAGAGAAATGGACCTTGAAGAAATTTTGAAACTGGGCCTCGGGCGCTTGAAAATATTGTGAAAATAGCATTTAGCAATGAAGTATGCATCAACATGGGCAAAACCTTGGTGATCACCACCTCACTCTTGTGCTTTCATATGCATATGAATGGGAATTTGCATATACAATATCAAATCATAAAACGACATCAGCTCGTTTCCCTTTCGTCAGGTGAGCTTACACACACAATATTGAAGACAATTCTGACCATTCATGGATCTGTATGGCACGATCAAAACCGATTAGTTTGAGATTTTATTAAAATTAAATTGTCATTATCAAAGGGTACTTGTGGTTTGTCTTTGTTTGCAAGTCTTGATATCAAGTATGGTGTTTCGATGTAACCCACCCGAACCTTTTTTGCAATTGGTATTATGCATCACCATCAATGTTTCTTACCATCACATCACTGTTACAAATAATAAACTGAGAAAAATAAATGTAACTCATTAATTAATATTTACAAGTTTAAAAAATCACTAATGATCTATTATCCCGTCTATTGATACCAGGGAAGGTCATACAAAATGTATGTATGTTTTATGCCTGGAATATTGTTGAGCGCGGCGCTTAACAGTCACTATTATTTTGTATGTCGAATATCAACGTTACACTCGCCTGAAGTCAACAATAACGTCAGCCATATGTTTGCGTGTATACAAAGTTTAAAAAAAGCAAAACTGAACGGTCCTGACCATCACTGATTATCTATTATCCTGTCTATTGATACTAGTGAAGGTCTTATGTCTGTCTTATAGCTGGAATATTGTTGAGTGCACCGCTTATCAATCACTCAATAAACTTAATTATTTTTGTATATCCAATATCAACGTAAAACTAGTCTCAAGTCAACAATAACGTCAGCCATGTGTTCACGTGTCCAATGGTTTATGTCCTTCTGATTGGTTGCATTTGATTGGATGTCTCCCAAATAGGTATGACTGACACATTGACAGTGTGGATAAATGAAGGTTACGAATTACTTCCGTGTACTGATCAGCGGATTAATACGATAAATGTAACACACTAAAAACGAGCACCAGCTAAGAGTAGCATGTCGTGATTCATGCATATAAATGCAATGATTCTTAGAGAGCACTGAATTTAAGCTAATCTATAAACATCTATGCAGTGTCTATACATAATATATCCAAACTTACAGATGCAATTTATGTATAATACGTTTGATATGAATCTGAAAAATACTTACATGTGGTTTTTAATCCAGGGAATATGTGAATCTGTAATGTTGTGTTCAGCAGTAGTCGGTTTAATGTTATAATTTTATTGTTCGTTGTTATGTAATGTATTGTTAACCGGGCGTCTCGTGACCTGTACCTCGTTCTCAGACGTTAATTAAATGTCCGGCCGGCACGTCGTCTTGTGTTTCTGTTCGTCCTTGTCTTGGTCTCCCTCCAGCGTCACGTCTTGTCCAATTAATTAGAATGAGTATGTAGAACCCACAACACTACAAGAATGTGCACAAGGAAATGCATCCACGTCGTGTATCAATCTCCACATGCAAATAAACACCTGAACACATCTTTCATATGAAACTTCTTTCGCATTCACAATCCGGTACCGTGGTGTACTAAACTCCAAACGAATACAGCTGCCGTCCACTTACAGTTTTATGCACGCGAGTTCCTACAATGACCGGAATCCTTTCCAGCTGGCGATCACCTCGTGCGGCGCACGTGCGGGACGGATTGGGTCGATAAGTTGCGTATCACGTATGATGAAAACCACAATGCTTTAAACAGAACATAAAATCGCGATCAGTTCTTATTCAGCTTTGAGTAGTTTTCCTTTAAAGTGCATAGTTTAAGTATCTGATTATTATTTGTTCACTCATTGAAATGATAACCATTATCCAATCTGTGACACATGTCTCTGACTGAGGTTGTTATCCGTTGCTTGTGAAATATAGGTGGATATGTTACAAAATAACTGTTTCCAACTATGAAGCAGATTTATGGAGGATATTTCATAAGTGGTGAAGCCACAAATGCAGATGCCAACCTTGTCATGCAAAGAAATGCGCTAACCATGCCATTTGACAAGAAAGCATAACATCTTGTATCCACATGTGTGTAATGTATTTTCTTAGTGAACTTTACGACCTATCAGTGGAAGGCTTCAGTGACTAAGACAGACTGAAATAAGTTCAGACCTGAAGTGTTATTTCACTCAAGTGAGATATGGAAGTGAGATACTACAAATTACGTCATAGGGTATGATCACGTGTTTGAAAAGTTTGTGGTACTGTATTCTAAAGGTAGGCCCAATGTTGATATCCACCATAAAGCAATCGAATAATTAAGTCTAGAATCTCCTAAGTTCTTCTAGACTCATTACTTGCTAATTAGAGCTGCAGTTAAAGCAGTGAAAATATGTATTGCTCCACCTTTCATATAAAAATATGTATTGCTCTACCTTTCATATAAATATATGTATTACTCAACCTTTCATATAAAAATATGTATTGCTCCTCCACTTTTCATATAAAAATATGTATTGCTCCACCATTCATATTAAAATATGTATTGCTCCACCTTTCATATCAAAATATGTATTTCTCCACCTTTCATATTAAAATATGTATTGCTCCACCTTTAGTATAAAAATATGTATCGCTCCACCTTTCATAAAAAAATATGATTTTGCTCCACCTTTCGTATAAAATATGTATTGCTCACATTTCGTATAAAAATATGTATTGCTCCACCTTTCATATAAAAATATGTATTTCTCCACCTTTCATATTATAATATGTATTGCTCCACCTTTAGTATAAAAATATGTATTGCTCCACCTTTCATAAAAAATATGTATTGCTCCACCTTTTGTATAAAATATGTATTGCTCACATTTCGTATAAAAATATGTATTGCTCCACCTTTCATATAAAAATATGTATTTCTCCACCTTTCATATTATAATACGTATTTCTCCACCCTTCATATTAAAATATGTATTGCTCCACCTTTAGCATAAAATATGTATCGCTCCCCCTTTCATATAAAAATATGTATTGCTCCAACTTTCATATAAAAATATGTAATGCTCCACCTTTCGTATAAAAATATGTAATGCTCCACCTTTCGTATAAAAATGTGTACATCTTGAAACAGTGACAGACACAATATTCGTCTCTCTCAAAACTATCACTTGATTCTCTATAATATGCAGGCCTCCCTGATATAGCTGTAATGTTAAATATCATTTTAGAAAACGTTCAACTTTATGGATTACAACTTCTGGTTCATTGCATATAGCGACGTTTCGATGTACATGTAGATTCTAACACCGTTATCAAGCTGGAGTGACAACAACCAAGTGTTGAGAGGTATGTATGCATGTTGTGATAAGCAACAGATGAACATTGACAACTACAGATAAGAAGCAGACAGTTAATATGATGAAGCCAAATGCACAGTAAAATTAACAAATAGCACACAGGTAATGTAACACACGGGTAATGAGCTATCATAACGTCAAAGCACTCGGACGCACGTCGTGCTTTAACTATAATAGTCCAGGGCAAAATTATACTTTATTACATTAAACACAGGGGAGGAGCAAATTTATGTTCTAAATATTTAACCTGTCTCACAGTGTTCCACAAACTGTCGAGTCAGAATCGACAAACTACGGTTTCATATCATGAGCAACATTGTGTTCATGCGGAGTTTCAGTAAACAGGACCACCTCTGTGGTCTTGTGGATACAGCGTCTGCCCCGAGAGTGGAAAGTCGTGGCCTGTACGTGTTGCAGCTGTGTGGGGATGTACATGGAGGTGTCAAGTCAGTGATATATATCCCCACACCACAGATGCGGGTTTATACTAACACCTTCGCATTGTCGATACTAATTGCCTAACACCTGAACAAGCAACGTCCTTCTACATATGTCGGAGCGAAGTGTGTTCAAACAAATAAATCCTCATCGGGATTACAGGTTTTTTTTCACGAACGTTTATGGTAAAAGGCAATATTTAAGTTGTACGGAACATATTAAACGATTAATATGTATTTCTAAACAAGCATAATAGGAAAGAGAAAAAAAAGTTGTGTAAACTGATAGGACAAATAGATTATTGGTTTCATAAATGTATGTTCGTGATGTAGCTGTTCTGTAACGTATCTCTCAAAGGTTGTGGAAAGAATACATGCATTAACCTGTCGGATCATTACCACTGTTGGTGAACTCACTGAACTGTTAGTAACAACACAACTTCCACTAGATGTCGTTTCTTCTATTGGATATTTGCAAACAGTTCGTAACTATTACGAGGTAATAACGTTTGCGTTGGAATTCGAAGATAAGGCTTAAATAGGAAGTTGGTGTGGTGAAATGGGGTCGCAATTAAACTTATTGCACTGCACTTATACAACGACAAACATGAATGTGTGTGTGGCTGCATGTACTAGTCCGGACTACTGCCGGCCCACTGAGATACCATGCCACGGTTTTACAAGGATACCCAACTCTGACACAAAATACTGAATCCCAACCGACCTACCCTTGTTTTATTCCCTCAAAGCCGAGCGATAGGCGGAGTAACAACAAATGCCATCTTTTGACGTCTTTTTGTAAAACGCAGTCAGGGAATCAAACCCCCGACCTTCCACTCTCGGGCAGATGATCTATCAACCATACCACGAAGGCGGCCGGCTTCAGTATTAATCAATAGGTAACATGTGTGACATCATAACTTGTACTGACATATGCAAATCGGTATATGCATGCATGTATACAAAAAAAATCCACATTAAACACAATTTAACCCTGAGGTTCCTTATAAAGAGGGATCGTGCGGCTTGTCGTCACAATACGGCATCATAAGGATGGGTGCGGTGGAAATGAGTTTCTTGTTCGCCTTTGCGTTGGTGTCTGGGCTTGTCAATGCATCGGAACTTGATGTTCTTAAAGCACACCTTCTGGTGATGGAAAAACAGCTTCAGTCTTTCAATGCGAGTCTTCAGAAATCCAAGACCTGCTGCCACAGTAAGTAACCAATTTATAACGATTAAATTAATTAATTATTTATTATCTTTTGATTAAATCGAATATGTTTTATGTCAGTAAGACTAGGTGACAACATTACTACGCCTTAACACAGTAAAGATCCAGGTTACAATTGGTCTTCAGCATTCATGCTTGTGGTAAGAGGCGACTAAAGGAATAGGGTGGTCAGGCTCGCTGACTCGATTGATGCATGTCATCGTAGCCCAATTGCGCAGATCGGTGCATATGATGTGAATCAATAGATTTTCTGATTCAGACTAGATTATTGACAAACCGCAGTTATAGAGATGGAATATCACTTAGCATGGCAATAACCAAAACGTACAACTATGTAATTATAAGAAGAAGATATATAAACTCAGATAATTGCTGCAAACATGATAACATCTTTTTTTAAATGTCACACTATACACTGTTGGGTTTGAAAGTTAGTAGTTTGTATTTATGGCTTACGAGATAATGCAATACACCTATCCAACATGAGTGATGAAATCAAAAATACCCAAACGAAAAAACAATTTATGACAAAAGGTTGCAATGTCCAAAACACAAATATCAATTTGCTCATTGCAAAACTATTATATGTTGTAGCAGGATCACTCGGGGTGCATGGGGTTTCATGCGTCCCTCGTCAGGTTTTATACCACTCGCCTCCGACTCCGGCTCTTGGTATAAAACTTAACGTATGACATCATTCGTCCCTCAAGACACCATCCTATCTGTCACACCATTTAGCGTAAAAAGTGATAGTCTATCTAAAAATGGGCCAACGAAAATGGCTTCAAATTTTCTAAATCCAAAATAAACTGCTTTCACCTATCTTAACAGGTTTGACTAACATTAAACAACACCCAGGTAGGAATCAATAGACCGTGAATTTAATCCAACAATCGACCATACCCACTTGGGTTGTCAGCCAATACATGATAAGGTAGTTCTACGACGATGTCATATTGGCCACAGTCGGTTTACCAACGTATATCTGCTTAAAACAGATGAGGACGAGCCTCCTATAGCATAAACAGCTTGACAGTGGATTTTGCAATCGCAAGGAATTTACATTACCAAACAATAAATTTGAAATATATCTTTTCCCGTGTAAGCGGGAATCTAATCTTAAACTGCTAGAAAGAAATTGGTCTGTAGCATTAAGTCCAAATATGTATGTGAATAACTTATTGCATGTTTTTAAATTTGGTGTGATGCTTTTTTCAACAAAGATTATCGAAGGCTCTGCCCAAGAGGTTAAAGTACCATAAAATGATTGTCCCCCTGTGTGACACGTAATTCCTATCATAATCGATGTAACTATCATCAACCAGTAGTTTAAGCCAACGCATTGCCTTATATATTTTAATATTGGCTGTGATTGTGCACAACCACCAGTAGCTAAAGTGATGACGTAAATCCTGCTGGGGTATCGTGTTGGAAGCTGAGGCACAGTAAGTCCCCATGATCCCAAGTGAGGTAGCCTAGCTTTGGTTACTGGTGGCCTATAGCCCGTGTTTCAAAAAGTTGTAAATAATATTGTTTTTCCGAAATATGTTTGACAAATTTGTTTTTAAATATAACTTTGTATTCCGGATTCAACTGTATATGTATTCAAATACAAACACTATTACGACCTTTCACGCTGACTTGCTCGGCAAGTTTTACAGCCTCATAATACCCGGAGCACCGCTGTGCTATGTTGTGGTGATGTTGAAGTTTATCCCGTGCCAGTGGACAATGTGTCTCTGGAAAACGCCCTAACGCATCCCCGAACTCTCATGACACTCGACAAAATGCTCCTTTCTCTGCTATTTCCTGTTTGAAGAAAATGATATGTCTTTTCTTGACTATGTGAACAATATAGATATTATTCACCTATCAGGAACATAGACTAGTAAGAACTATTCTCATCTTTTCCCAAATCACAAATGTTTCGCTGTACCAGGTACAAGAATACCGACTACAGGAAGGACATCAGGTGGAATTATGGTGGGCATAAAAAATGTTTTGCCAAGTTTAAAAAGAATATTTATACATGTACTAACTGCACATTATTCTGTTCGATAAATGTGTGTTTACATTTGGAAAAGATGTATTGTTTACATTTGTATATGATGATGATGATGATAAGTATATTTCACTTAAATTTGAGTGAGTGAGTGAGTGAGTGAGTGAGTGAGTGAGTTGGGTTTAACGCCGCTTTTAACAGTATTCCAGTTATATCGCGGCGTGACAGCTTAATGTGGGAGGAAAGCCCGAAGTGATGCAGGTCTCAGACGTTTACCACTTCGGTGAAACCCACGAGCACGGGTATGGTGCTGACAAACCTAGAAACATAATCGGGGCGAACCGGGATTCGAACCCACAATCATAGGTTTCTGGCGTGGCCAAGGGACGCAACTCTGCACAGCGAATCGCGGCGCCTTAGACGACTGGGCCACCCGTGCCCCCTACTTAAATTTGAAGACATGAACAATTACATATATGATCATTTCGAGGAATAACGCTTTTCTTCTGACAATGGTGTAAATGTATTTGGTAAATGTTTGACTTCTTAATTTGCACATTTTCAATTATCGTTGTGGAAGCAATACTGGTGTTGGTGATTTTACATTCATGCGTAATAACGAATGTAGCGTTATTGATTATGTCATCGGATGAGAGCCCATTTATAACGAAATATTATTGTTTGACATCCTCTCAAGATCAGAATCCGAACACCTCCCAATCACATTTTACAAACATTACATACTAACAAAGGTTTTTTATCATAGTACTGATACTAATGATATGCTTTTCAAGTACTCGTGGAAATACAATTTTTAATATATTTACGTGTCATCGGTCGAAAGTTCAGTGTATATTTCTATATTTGATGCTGAACAAGGGGTTAACATTTTTACTGACATACTACTGAGGTCAGCTGAATGCACGAAGTGTGTTGTCACATCACGCTGTAAGGTACATAATTGATTTGACAATACTTGTCAACCTTTAAAACAGCAGCATTTAATTGTTCAGATGATGCGTCTCCAGTCGCTTTCGTAACAAGTAGAAATGTATACAAATTGGCTTATAAGACGACCAAGATCAATCATGGTGATAAGCGATTACATGAACTGAATGTTGCGATTGGTAATCCTAAAACGTTCTGGCAAAATTGAAAAGCCGAACTGGTGGTATTTCACTATTAAATAATATATCTGCTGAAACTGAGTTAGCTATTTTAAAGACCCATTTGCTTGAAGCCGAAATGACAACATTAACGATTCAGCTTTCGATGATTATATCACGTCCAACCAATTTGACTGGACAGCTTCTGCTGATATATTTGATGAACCAATTAGTAATGGTGAGAAACACGCTAGTATTAACAAACTTATGTTAATGAGGCGGCTGCACAAGATTTCATAATTGCCGAAATGTTTTAATCATCAGACAATTTTCTTTTACCTTTCCTGGACGTTTTATTTAATTCTTTATATGATAAAGGGGCGTTCCCTATGTCTTGGCAAAAAGCTTTTTTAACCCATTTTATTTAATAAGGACAAGAAACCTTACCTGAAAATTACCTTGCAATAACTCTTCTATATTATGTGCTAATATCTTAACAAATAGACTTGTATTTTGGGCTGAGTGCTGTGACTAAACTAAATGAGAACAAGCTGGTTTCAGAACAGGATACTCTACCTTTGATACTATTTTTACCTTGCAGGCACTCATTAGCAAATACCAATAAAAAGGGGAAAATTTTTATGACTGTTATTTCAAAAGCCTTTTATTCTGTCAACAGAGAAAAAGAATAATTGTATAATGCTGGGGTTTGGGTTTTTCAAAGGTATGAATGTATTGAAAAAATCCAGTTACAAATTCTAGTCATCTGGAAATCAACAACTAGTGATATTGTAATTGGGGAATGGTGAAGATACCCAATATAGATCCTGGCATTAACACGTTGTATCTTATATTGGTTAAAACGCATCTCCATGCGTCCCTACGTCTTTATACATCTAAAGCGTATAAGATGTTACTTTATCTTTCTCAAAATACACATGACTCTAGAAACAACAAGCGTATAGTCGACGAAGTCATCTATACCCCACGCCCATTGTAACACGTTATGGTCCCAAACCAGGTAACTGACCCAACATTTCTCTTAGCCAATGTCAAAATAGCTGCAAGGGAAATTCTAAAATAAACATTTCTAAAACTACTTAATATCAAATGGCAACAGTTCAGTATGTGCTTTATATATAGACATGCAATAAATCCAAAGAAATATTTAAGTTTATTTGTTATACTCCATAAGTGAACCCACCCTACATGTATATTAAAACTTAAATCCAACTTGTTGCCACGGAAACATAAAAAATAAAACTTTATAAAATTCCTAAATAGCAAAAGGCACCACCAGTTCAGTATGTGCCTGGTAGACATGCAAAGTTTTGTGAGAAAGTATTGAACAGTTTTTGAGTTACGCTCCGGAAATGAACACCTCCCTTATAGAACCTAAGTCCAAATTGTTGTCATGGAAACGTAAAAAATAAAAATTTCTAAAATTCCTAAATAGCAAAAGGCTCCAGATCAACATAAGTCTGATAGACTTGCAAAGTTTCGTAGAGAAATATATAACGGTTTCTGAGTAATGCTCCGGAAACGATTTCGGGACGGACGGACGGACGGAACAAATTTCAATATCCCCCGCCAACTTCGTTGGGGCGGGGGATAAAAAATACTGGGCGAAATTAATTAAAGTAATACTGTTTCAACTGGTCTTCGATATGCGTGGATACGACAGGGAGTTGGGAATGGTACAGCTATTTTATCAATTGTGCAACAAACATGTAAAGATTATTTTCAGCAAGAATGGACTAGCACTTTACAAAATGGAAAATTTCCATATTCGTACTCACTGCATAAGCAACACTTCTTACATGAAAAGTATATGACCGTTGTAAATATAAGAAAATTAAGAATATCTTAATCGCAATTTCGGTGTGTGAAGACGACTATCATGTTCTTCTTATCTGTTCACATTAAAGAGATTTAATTGTCAATCAGAGTAAAACATTCTGATGAATTTTGCACAAAGAAACAGATCGGTGCCAGTGTGGATACCTCAATGTCTTATCCCCATATTTCACTGAGAAGTTATTAATTAGGAAGTCAAACATCGCTGTCTCATGTCAAAGCATTTGCTTTCATTTTCGACAAATTGTCCTAAACATTTAAAGATTCAACCGTGGGTTTAGTAAATACTTTGTATATTTCAGAGAGTAGATCGGACGTAGCCTTTGAGGTATTTTCCACGCCAGATGTTACTCTGTACGGTAATCAAGTCTACAAGTTTGATGCCCTCACTCTCAACAATGGAAATGGGTATCACGCAGCAAGCGGCATATTTGAAGCTCCTGTGTCAGGCACCTACCTGTTCTGGGCAAGCATTCTTCCTAAGACGTCGATTCATGTGGATCTGTACAAGGAAGGGAGGATATTAGCAACTGGTCTCGCACAACACCCAGGGATGGCTAGTTTCACTTATATGACAGCAGTAAAGAAAGGAGAGAAACTTTGGTTTCAGAACCGTATATTCACCAAAAGGATCTGGGGTTACCACCACTCAAGCTACGGAGGAGCACTGATTCATGAGCGCTGACTGTACCATGAGTATTTCATACTCACAATGGAATAAATGATACATTTGAAGACATTCTTGTTACTTTAAATGTTGATAATGGTCATTTATGTTATGCAGTATTTGCTACAGTATAGTGCATATTCAAAATATTAACTAACATTCACTTTTCCATAACACCATTGGAATGGAGATCCCACGCTTATATAAACTAAGAGAAGCTTTGTAATGATTCATCATATCGGCCATCAATATGATATAAAAAAACCACTACATCTAAAATGAGATCATCTAACTAAGTTTGTTTTTCTATCTTTACTGAGAAATCCAGACAAATAGCGATATCAGTATAACATTGAGTAGATTAGAAAGTTATGGTATAGAAATTCATGTGAGGGAAGCGGGCACGACTATGTTATTATGCCAGCATGTCAGTGACACTCCTCTCCCCTCTGTGAAATGTATTGTCAAATGTGACGTTATTACCTCCCCTTACACTATGGTAACCACACTTATTTCATAGGGTGAATATCAGTGTTTACGTTACAACATGCATGCACAAGGAGCTGATCTGTGGAGTGGATGGAGCAACTGGACCAGTTCAATGGTCGGGCGATAATATCCCCGCCCCTAGATTTGGTGATGGAATCGGATGCCTCAACGAAGGATGGGAGGCATTTTCAGGTAAAAAGTATCAGCGGACCATAGACCCTGCAAGAGTCATATCAGTGTGAGGGAGCTGATAGCCTCCTTCCTGGCTCCAAAGACATTTGCGAAGGAAGCCAAGTGTTTGAATGTGTAGGGTAGATACTCAAACTGCTGTAGCATACATACACATGTAGCAAAGATGAGAGGAACAAGATGGAGGGATTTCATCAAGGTGAAAAAGAAGATGGTGCACACAAAGATACATTTCCCTGACTGCCGAGCACCTCCCAGGCCTAGTGAATGTTGAGGCCAACTAACAGTCGCAGAATGTGGGAGACCCAAGCGATTGGACGCTCAGGAAGGATGCGTTTGCGATCATCCCACAGTCAATGGGCCCTGTCGAGGTTGACCTGTTTGCCAGTTGGTTGAACAGGTGGATGCGGCAATTTGTCAGTTGGAAGCTGGAACCAGAGCGATAGATGCCTTCCTAATGAACTGGGCCCCGTTTGTCTTATTGGCAGGTGCTTGCGGAAGATTGCTAAGGACAGGGCGACAATCTTGATTGGTACTCCATGTTGCTGAGGATGTCATCGACAATGCCAGTAAATGTGCTGACCAGCCTTCACGGCCACCCCACCCTCTGCTGGAACTTTGGTTGCTGACCTTGGCGGCATGGCTTGTCTCTGGAGACACCCGGAAATAAGATACATTTCAGAGGGGTCGGCTGAGTTGCACACAAAATGCTTGGAGGCCAGTAACCTTGAACCTGTTTGCCAAGGGCCTGCAATATTGGTCCATGAATACCCACAGATCTGCAATACCTTATGGTTACGTGCCAGTACATGGGGCACCAATGGGACAGCATGGCACGGTGTTCAAACAGGAACTGTAATGAGCAGAAGCCAATTCCCAAATATGTGGACACATGGCATTTGGATTTAGTCCTTGATAACCTTACACAAATTGGGAGATCTATGATCTGTCCAGCCTACAGGCTATTACCTACAGGCTACAACAGCTGTGACAGCGGGTCACATGTCTTCCCAGCTAAGCACTGATGTAAAAAACACGTAGACCAGGTAAGGGTGCTTCAGCACAGATATTTAAAGCCTTTTCGGATTCTTTCTTATGTGTTGTGGTCTGGATAAGAATATACCTAAGGAGATCGAAGCCAAGGCGTGTGGGGATAACATTTTGCTCAGTTGTTGGAAACCTCATCTTCCGGTTCATACATAACTGTCTCGAGAGTAGTCTGTTTTTTCAAATGTAAACAAAGGGGTGTGATTGTACTCACATATATGAGAGTGTATTCTGGTGTCAAACATACTCAGATCAGAACACACGTAGCTTGCGTTGTTTTCTATGATCATACCTGAAGTGTACATCGACAGTAATAGCACTGTGCAGGGTATATTAATCGGAACACCCATGCTTACTGAGTAGGATTTTGTCACTTATGGACCTTCCATTCAAATTTTTTTCTCCGATGTTTGTGCATGGAGCTGTGATAACAACAACAACCGCTTCCAACGGGAGGCATCTGTCAGATCAGGACTTGACAGATAAACTGACTATCCTACAGGCTATTACAGATCAGGACTTGACAGATAAACTGACTATTGTAGAGGCTATTACGTAGAGGCTACAGCAGCTGTGACAGGGGGCCACATGTCTTCCCAGCCAAGTACTGGGTAAAACAACATGTAGACCAGGTAAGGAAGCTACAGCACTGATATTTAAAGCCTTTCCAGATTCTTTGTTATGTGTTGTGGACTGCATAAGAATATACTTAAGGAGATCGAAGCCAAGGCGGAAAGTTCAGGATAGGAAGTGTAGAGATAACCTTTTGCTCAGTTGTTGGAAACCTCATCTTCCGGTTCATACATGCACCCTATCCAGATGGATCGTATTTATGACGGAAAACGCCAGCATAGACACATCGGCTCACTCTACAACGAGTGCATCAACTTTATAAGCAGTGATTAGGGGTATGTCAGCTTCCGAAATCATCCATCAGGGTAGATTGTAAGAAAAGTCTGCCTTTAGGAGATTTTATTCTATAGAACCGAAGGGTTGTACTTTTTCATACTGCAGTTCTCTCAAGGAACACTGGAATATCTTGTCGAGATTACGATATGAAATTGTAAATTTCATCAACACACCTAGTGTGTGAAATGAAGTCGTAATGTTATGGTCATGTTAAGATTCCGGGCTAGAAATGGTCTTTAGCAATCCATGCTTGTGGTAAGAGGCGATCAACGGGATCGGGTAGTCAGACTCGCTGACTTGTTTGATGCATGGCATCGTATCAGAATTGCATAGATCGATGCTCATGCCCTCAATCCTTGGAATGTCTGGTCCAGATTTGATTATTTACAGACCGCTGGAATATTACTGAGCGCGGCGTTAAACAAAAAAGAACCAACCAACAACCAACCTTTTGTTATGAGTAGTTGAGGCAAAATATGAAATTGTTACCACCCTTTTACCCTTGCTTCATATTCCCTAACTTACTTAATTGCCTCATTGCTTACAAACTGTTTTTCTTTCAGTTAAGAAGAGAGAAACATCAGCAGTTCGGCAAATGCCACAGAACAGATAAGCAATAATTCCAAGGATTGCATGGGACCAGAAGTTCTAATTAGTTAGGAAAAGTGAAACTCGAAACTACAATAGAATAGTGTGATTTGCAGACTGAACCACAGATGATCAGAAGTTCTATTTAGTGCCGAAATAGTGACACTCGTTACCATAGAATAGTGTGATTCACAGACTGAACCACAGATGATCCACACTTTGTGCCAATTTGACTAAAGACGTTGCCGTCCAAAGAGAACTGTACAATTTTGTTTTGTTTTAGGTCAATGAGCGAAGTAACATTTGCCAAAGAAGCCCTTCTTTTGAGAAATATTCTTTAATAAAGTGTTTTTCTTCACACTTGGTGTTGTATCTTTTGTCTCGTTATTCTTCTTGCTGGCTTTTCGCTGGTAATGGAGAATGGTGTGATCTCGTTGAGTCTTGTGAGACTTTGAATTCAGCTTGTAACAGAGATAACACTTTCATATTTTGCCTCAATTACTAATAAAATTAGGATTTTATTTCACATACTACATGAAAACTTAAATTTGTATTCTGACTTGCTACTGAAAGTCTGCTGGGGTCTGCCTCTGAACCGGTTGTCCATGTGACACAAGCGAGCTCCACAGCAACAGAAACTTGTTATCATAAAAGCGTCTATAAAGCCCACCAGGTGAGTTGAAAGCGGGTTTAATGTCGCGTTATTACGCCTATACAGAAACGTACATGCACGTGTGGGTGTTTGTGGCTGCTTGTACTTTTCCGGAATTATAGAGCTAGCCCAGCGAGACACCATGCCGCAGTTTGACATGGATACCCCAGACAGACAGAGAAATTAGTCATTTTTCTAGAGATCCAAAAATGACAGTGAAAAGTCAAAGCGTACTGATAAGATACCCCCGATATTTCTGAGTGAGACCAGTTCATCATCAATTACTGACTGCTTAATTGATATTGACATTTTGCTTGCAAATGAATAGAACGTGTCATGATAGTGTACCTTAATAATTGTGTTTTATGAAACATTCAACTTTGAACTATAAAAGATACTATTGAATCATGTACCAAAGCCATCTACTCATTTTTCGGATATTTTGATCAGGATGTCCCTTACAACGTATTAAGTATAAGGGGACATTGTCGCCAGTCTCACAATATCTGGACAGAACACTTGCAGTGTATTGCACCAGTCTTCACAAGGGCCATCGAAATGTTCATTTAGGATAATCATTCATGGACACCCCTATTTCCCCAAACCAGTATTTTAGTCATATGGCGGCGTGTCAGTTTAATGTGGGAGGATAGGTGGGTAGGCGCCACACTTAATTTGACACATTCTTTCTTTTTCGGAGGTTGTAAAAGAGTTTAGTGAAAGGACAAACATAAACCATTGCCAGTGACAGACTCATATTGTTCACAACACATTCGTAGTATTATTAGTCGGTAAATCGTACGTAAAATCCCATTCAGAACCTCCTTCTTTAATGTTAATGATAACTCTTATACACTTATCGTCTTTTTACGCTTATCGTCGTCTCATGCTTTAAGTAGATTTTAATTAAAAAGATAAAATCGTGTATCCTTATATAGGTTATGTGTAATCTTGATCTAATGCCACCATTTTTCAATGATCTAAATCTATCTAATATCACGTTAAAAGCTTTCACAGGAGTTTTGACACACTCATTGTGAGCCGACAGTATCGTGGTTTTCCAGATGCAGTTGTGGTATGAGGTCAGGATGCATGTCATCTACTTTTATGTAACACCTCGAATAGGAGGTCTCTGATACGATTTCATGTTTACATTGTCCATACAGAACTGTTTCGGAAATGAATCCTTCATGTCATTCATTGGCATCTTTCACTAAATTGTCTCAGCATCTGTCTATTAATCGATTGCAAGTGAACAGATATATTTCAACTGTGTGTATTTGTTTGTTGTTCAACGTCGCACTCAGCAATATTCCAGCTATATGACGGCGATGGCCACCCGATCCCGTTAGTCACCTTTTACGACAAGAATAGTCGCTTTTTACAGCAAGCATGGGTTGCTGAAGACCTACCCCAGATCTTCATGGTGTAGCAAAAGCAGTATTACTACGCAAACTTAAATGTTTAGCTCACCTGAGCAATAAGGCCAAGGAAACTTACTAAGTATGTCAAGACGTTATTGTCTGTTATCGTCGTCGTCATGTTCTCCCATGAACCATAGACCTACATAACTGAAACGTGTTGCCAGCAATAACGCCTAAAAATACACTGGCAGTCATATTTGAAAACTCACACCCGCAATTTGGACTAGAAACTACACCATAGGTTCAGCATATGTGTTCAACCTTTCACCAACTTGACATTAAACATGTCGAAACAGACACCAAAGAGACACCATAAAACCTTCTTAAATGCTCGAAGCGTACTTTACGATTCAGCATTCTCGAACGAACTACATTTCAACAACGTTTGGTCTCTAAGGGTTAAAGAGTAGTCTCCCTTTTACCCTTTACGGACCCGTGAAGATCCGGGGTAGAATAGGTCTTCAGCAACCCATGCTTGCTGCAAAAGGCGACTATGCTTGTCGTAAAAGGCGACTAACGGGATCGGGTGGTCTGGCTCGCTGACTTTGTTGAAGCATGTCATCGATTCCAATTGCTTGGATCAATGCTCGTGATAATCATCACTGGATTGCCTGGTCGAGACTCGATTATTTACAGATCGCCGTCATATAGCTGGAATATTGCTGAGTGCGGCGTTAAACAACCAACCAACCAACCAACCAACCCTTTACGTCAACGGTCGTTTCATTTTGACAAATGTGCAATAAAAATACGAGATAGCGTGAATCTTTCGGCATAACAAATTCGTCCAATATTTTCTTTTGCTTACCTAATAAGACAACGTTTACATGAACCAAAGATACCATACCCAATAGTATTGGGGAGCGGTCGGGTAGCCTAGTGGTTAAAGCGTTCGCTCGTCTCGCCGAAGACCCGGGTTCGATTCCCGACATGGGTACAATATGTGAAGCCCATTTCTGGTGTCCCCCGCCGTGATATTGCTGGAATATTGCTAAAAGCGGCGTAAAATCAAAATCAAACTCAATCAATCAATAGTATTAGTGTATCATTTGTTCAATGTGTTCAGATGGTTGGTTAACAATGTATTAAAAACGAAGATTAACAATTATATGTCACAAGATTTATAGGACGCGTTTCTTGTGCAACTACCTTGTCAGGTGCTAAGGCATATACTCCAAAAGGAAGGAGTGAGTGAGTTTGGTTTTACGTCTGTTTTCCATCTTGTACCGACTATTTGAGACATTTATTACTTCAGTATCAGTGACAAAACAACAGAGACTAGCCTTTAAATGTATCAGTTTGTATAGGATTGTAAAACATGTCAGTGTATCAATAAAATACCAATGCAAGGGAACAACCATTCTTGATTATCCACCGAAACAAAATAAATTTTAAATAACTTAAGTTCATTGTTCGTTCGTTTGTTTTGTTGTTTAATGCGACACTCCAGCTTTTAGACGGCGGTCTGTAAATAATCGAGTGTGGACCATCGATCTACGCATCTGAGATACGATGACATGCACCAACCAAGTCCCGTCAGTCGCCTCTTCGGAATGCATGGGTTGCCGAAGACCACTTCGAATCTTCCCGATATTCACGGGGTTGAGATCATTGACGTTTGTTGTATGGTTTGTTGAGACATCAGACAGAGGTGGTCGATGTGTTACATGAACGAGCTTTCTCACTAAGACTTTCAAGAAACGAGAAATGATTGAAGGGAAGGAACGAAATGTTTATTGAACATTTCAAATAGACCTCAAAATCATATGTTCTTTTGTCTCAGGTGATTCGAGCTTGAAATGTCAAAGCAACATCAAAGACATGAAACCTATTACTGGCATTTGTTGCTTTACTTTAGGCTGCGTGAATGAGGACTCCTCCATAGTAGGAGAAGAATTGGCCATAAATGTTCACTGTTCCCCACAGTTTTGTAAACCAGACTTTCTCTCCCTCCTTCAGGTCCGTCAGGAAGGTTAGAGGTGCAACGCTGTATTTAGTTTAATACGGACTATACCCAATCACAAGTGTAACACCTTCTTTGATCAATGCAATATGGAGGTGCCCACTGCTATATCCCATGACGTTGGCCCAGAAGAGGTAGGTGCCGGACACGGGAGCTTCAAATATACCGGAAGTAGCATGGTACCCTCCGCCCTTGTTGTCTGTGACTGTGTCAAATTTTGAGAACCTCATGCTTCTGGACAAGCTTATGTTGATTTAATTTCACTTGGAAAGAGACAAATCCGTGCGATCTATCTGAAATCAAAATATTCAAACTCACAACATATTTTGTTTTAAATAACATAATAGCCTTCAAAGATTAGGCACTGGCATTTCCTACGAATAACCTTAGAAATGTAATGCATTCATGAAATAGAGACAATGGGATAAATTGCCATAAAATTACATCCGGCAGTACAGGTATTAGACGTAAACTTACATGAAACACTCAATATACAAAATAGCCAGATATTTAATTTCATCATATTATGGGTAGGTTTCTCGGCAGGATAAAGCCAACGGATGTAAACGATATGCGTTGGGGTCATATGCAGACAGAGATGTAAATGTCAAAGATCAAATAGGGACTACTTTCAGTGTTTATAAACAAACATTATTTAGCGATCGAGTCAGATTAACCATCGTGAATCTTGAGAAACTATTTGGATAATTGGTATCATTATCAAAAGTAAATTTTAATATGCTAAAAATTAGTGTCTAACTGAAACGTAGCTAAGGTGTTTAACAAGTTTTGGCAACATTGGAGATAAAAATTGCGAAACAATTTTGCGAGGGCACTAACCAAGCGGGATCAGTTGCCATATCATTGGTTGTAGACCTCCACAAATTAAAACAGTTGGATTTTGCAGAAATATGCCCGAATTGTTACCTTGTTTCGTTTTGCCACTGTGTATACATCTGACAGAACTTCGTAACGTTATGAGAGGACAGACCGACTGTCAACGTCTGACTGTGGGCGTGACGTCTCATAGACTAGGGTAAGAGTAGCGTCCCTTTGATAAAGGGCAGTTACTCTAACGGACATACCGATGAATTGCCGCGAAATGCAAGGGGAAACAATTTGTGCAGGCAATTTTTATTTTGCATATATATAGTTACGCCACTGTATAAGAAATAGGTTTCATCTGGAACTATACTGGCTACTGTCACTGTCCGACTGACACATCACCTACCTTCTGACGTGGTACATATTAATGCGCACATTCCAGGAAAACTTGCAATGTTTAGGTAATGTTTGTGAGAGATGGGAAGAAATTTTCGAGCAAAGAATTGAAGAATGCCATTATATGATAAAGAGGTTATAACGCTTGTGTGTTTGGGGATGGTAAATATCCTGTATTAGGTGAGTGAGTGAATATTGCTTAACGCCGCATCAGCAATTTTGCAGCTATTCGCGGCGATCCTGTATTAGGAATAAACGATATGTATTTAGCTCGCCAAAGATCGCTAAATACAATGTTTATTCCAAATACAGGATATTTTCCATCCCCAAACACACTTGCGTGATAACCTCTATATATATGCGGGGCGGTCGGGTAGCCTTGTGGTTAAAGCGTTCGCTCGTCTCGCCGAAGACCCGGGTTCGATTCCCGACATGGGTACAATGTGTGAAGCCAATTTCTGGTGTTCCCCGCCGTGATATTGCTGGAATATTGCTAAAAGAGGCAAAAAACAAATTTTCATACTGTGAATACTTGTATATGAATTTATTTGGAGTAGCGCCGCCTTGTGAGAAGTTGTCACCACGCATATGTGACGCGCTCCGCCGATATTTCAAACTTCGAGCTGTTTAAAACATATAGAAACAGCGTGAAGACCCGTAAGTTACATGAATGTGTTTAAAACAAACTGGACTGAGATGTGACAACTCGCCAAAGTCACACAGGATGCTTAACTACGACATGTTTATGCTTCATGTATGATAGAGCAAAGCGGCGTTCAGCCATGCATGTTGCACGTGCGAAAAAGCTCGAGGGAGCCGATGAGAATGGGACTGCTTGCTGTATGTCTCATTGTTAATTGTGTTAAGCAGTGATGTGGGAACCAATCCAGTTCCCGGTCAAGTTAGAAGCACGATACGATCTACAGTGCGGTAGAACTGAGCGTCAGAGATGTCCTCATCAAGAAACAGGCGATGAGAAAAGATAAAATATTTTTAGAGTTTGAACACAAACAAATTTCTTATAAAGAGATAGACCCATGACAAACTGTGAATTCAAGCCTCGGATGGCGAACATGAGTCGGAATGTTGATATGATAGAGAGTCAAATGAGGAGGAACAATGTGGAGGAAAGTTCTGATGAGGCAATGGAAGAAACAGAACAAAAATTAAAACATTGCTTGCAGACAAAATGGACATAAGGGACAACATAGCGTTTGACACAAATGCTTCAATGATGATCCAAGTTGAGAAGCTAAAAGTGACAACGTAAGGATTTCACACAACTACACCGATGCAAGTTTGCTATGCAGACACATGAAAAAATACAAACTGACAAAAAGATCTACAGAATTAACGTTGCTGATCCCTAAATTAAGGTATGTGAGGACTTTTAAACCTCGAACCCGTGACACATGTGAAAATAGCAAGCCGGCTACGGCTCAAACAGCACTACCACAAGAAAGAATGACCTGAACTGCACAGTATGGAATATTGGAGGTCTACATAGGAAGCTTGAACTACTATCTTTCTTGGAACTTGTGAGTAATAATGCTATTATAGGACTAGTTGAAGCATAGTCTAGATGAAATGTTACTTTTAATTTCCCTGGATACACACAGCTTAGTAGAGTAAGGCCTAAACCCCCTGGGTTTAGGGGAATTCAGCAAGACTATTAATATTGTTGTAAAAAGATCGACTGGCGCCTTTTCAAGTTTATTCACTAATGTCCGCAATACAGACACTAGCATGTGCCTGAAAATTGAAAAATCCTATGTGTGATGAATATTCCCCTATTCATATCATCGGTGAACTCTTCACCAGGTAACTCTAGTTTATATTGGACAGAACCAGTGCTGGACATGTTAGACAGTGACATTACACAAGTTAAATCGAATTATCGGGACAAAATCGAAATATCGACCATGATGACATCTCACACCTGCCTATCGAAAATTTAAACCAGAGAGTCTAACAAGACAGTATGATAAATGTGCGAGGGCGTTCTTTCTTGGAACTTTGCAAATTTACTTGATTAAGAATATGAAAGGCATGGATAGAGGCCCGAAAATAACCTTTACAGTGTCCAAAACGTGAGAAGTTACTTGTATGATAACGAATGTTGCGATGTTCCTACAACTGCATATACAGTAGCAGTATACAGTTGCTTGGAAACATTCTGAAGACACGTGTTGTGATAAAGCAGAAAGGGCCTTAAATGTTTCTTTTTTTGTTTCTATTTGACGACGGTCTGTAAATAATCGAGTCTGGACCAGACAAGCCCGTTATTAACAACAGGAGCATCGATCCGCGCAACTGGGATACGATGACATGCATCAATGCCGTTATCGCCTCTTACAACCATAGTCGCCTTACGGCAGGCATGGGTTTCTGAAGATCTTCACGGGTACATATTTATAACTTGTAGCTACATGGAGATAATTTTTTAACATGAGAACAACCTTGTCTAAACATATACTTACTTCTTGGTGTTTTAGCTTGTTCAATCTTGAACTGCGTTTTAGTTTTCTCTAGAGAGGCATTCAAATTGACGACATTTACAGCAAGTGAATCCAGGTCCGATTTCCTGCACTGGGCCTTGGTCAGACGGGACACTGTTTGCTCCAAAAGCAGCACGTGCGTAAGGACGCTGTCCAGGTCCACCTTGCCATCTGACGTCTTCATGGGACTGATGAGACTGGACACGGAGGACAGGGATGTCAAAACAGCAAACACAAGCAGGACGTCCATGGTGTGAACCGGTTGGAGTTTTGGTACCAAGCATGACATGTGGACATGTTTATACTGTTGCTGGTATTGATTGTCTCACCTTTGCTGAAGTCACAGACTGCGGTCTCATTAACAACTCTACACGATTCATATTCGGATTTTGAAAACAATTTCCTAGACGCATATGTTGTACATATGTTAAATTAAAATCTATATCTATTACATTGCCTAATATACGTTACGTGTTACATTATTCCATGGCAAATGCCCAATGTAGATTAAAGTATAGCTAAACACTATTGGATAATGATAGTTCTCAGTTTAAACACGTTGTCCAGTTGTATAAACGCACTTTATGGAGACCAATGTATACGGACGTTTCCCGTTCATGCACAATGTTGTATTTGGCCTGCAAATAATTGAGTCAAATATGTGGTTTCCAGATTTCCAAGTTTAAGATCACCAAAATCTTCGTTTCGATGTATACAGGAATATTTAATTGTTTTTCAGCCTTTACTCCTACCAGATTTATTGATCACTGCAAAGTGACAATACCCCCCTGATTCAACCTTTCTTGCAAACTAATTGACTCTGGTGCAAGAGTACGAATGTCAGTATTTGACAATACATTTGGGGACTATACATTGTATAGCTCAGGTAACCTAATTACCTTATACTGTATATACTGAATGTCACCATCCTATCACATTTGCTTGTTATCGAAAAATTAAAATTGGATTGTATGAAATACAACATTCGAGTAAGCCACATATATTGATTGCAATGTAGGCGTATCTTTATGAATCAGGGGAGCTGGGTTTTTTTCTAACTATTATCAAACGTCTTAATGGGCGATCTTTTACAATGTATCTTCCCTTCACTTACCCGCTAGGTGTGCTGACCCGATCTGTTCACCTTTAAACTGACAGCGCACGTGGTGTGCGCGATACGAGCGGTACATGTTACTATCAGACATAAAGACAGTTAACCAGTATAGGACAGTGTATCTCTTCGTCTAAACAATGATCTATTGTCATGTCCTGAAATATATGTTCCGTGATTCAATGATACATCAGGGATGACCACCACTGCTTATATTGTTAAAGTAAACCACGTGATAGTCATTTGAAGCGAGGAGGTGGGATCAGCTGATCGTTCATTTCCGGTCGCTTGGTTGACTTTTTGCAATCGGTACTGAAAGTGATGCCCTTGATGTCTGAATATCATACTTTTAGAAACGAAGTATAGTTTCATTGTTTCAGGTTCCTATATCTCTGTTGTATAATCGCCGATAAGGCTTTTATGCATGCAGTTCGGAAGTGTTATGGCAATACCTCTACCTGAAACGCGCAACGGGCAATTACCCCGTGCAGCACAATTGCGGTACAGACGGTCGTAAAGCAAGGCATCATTGGTCATGAAAACCATGACGTTTCAAACAGATTATAGACATCAGACATACTTACAACCCATGTAGATATGTATTAAACAATTGGATCAGTTTATTTTCAGCCTCACATTTTTCTCTTTAAAGCGTTTTTTTTTTAATTGGATTTATATTTGTTCACTCATTGAAGTGATAACCCGAAATGTATCGGTTGATATAAGAGTCGGGATTCTCCAGATAATTACAGCCCGTAATTTGTTCACCATGCTATGATACGGGGGAAAAGACAGTTGTATTCGTCAATGCAAACCACATCGTCCGAACACAACAATGCTCCATGCAGCAAGTGATACACGTCCACGTCACGTATATTTGTAGAAAATGCGAAAAATTGAAAACCACGTGCCGCTTGGGCAATGAAAACTACACGTAGGGTCAAAACTACAATAAAGGTATATAAATGATACGGACGGCATGTCAGACACTCACACTGAAAAAAAACACACCACAGAAATGCCACGCCTGACACCCGAACAACAGTACCACCCATGCCCACATTACCAGAACGTTTGGTTACTCCTGTTTTGGTGTAACTAACCTGGTGCATCGTTACAGACAGACCGGGCATACATCTGACAAGAACAGGCAGACCCAGGGTAACTTCGACCAATGAAGACCGGTACTTGCGTACTTTGCACCTTCGTCATCGATTCCTGAGAGTGACGTCGTCAGCGACGAATGCCTTAGGGCATATGGTCAGTCGACAGGCCATGCGACTCAGGGCTCAAGGAATTTTGACTTGCAGACCATACAGGTCATGCAGCGACGTGACTGCCAGAGGGTCGACTTCACTGATGAAAGCTGGTTCTGTCTGTTTAGAGCTGATGGAGGATAACGTATTATCACCGAAGGGGAGAACGAACGGCGGCATGTTGCGTTCAGGAGGTCGTGCCGTATGGTGGAGGGGCTTTATGGTTAGGGGAGCAAATTAGGGGCAGGAAAGAACACCGCTGGTCATCGTTAACGAAATTTGACAGCTCAGCGTTACGTGGATGACATTCTTCGTCCGATTGTCCTGCCATTTCTGCAACAGCTGCCACGTTGTGTCCTTTATCAAAGCATGACAACGTTGATTTTGTTTTTTAATCTTTTTCCAGTACATATTACTTCATGTATCTGTCTTTTGTGGTTTCCACACTAGGGCCATTTAAAACTATGTCCTCCAGTGTCGTTATACATGTACTTACAAATATTGATAACTCAACATCCATGGGTTTTTTCAATGACATTGCGTAAAGAGATGACAGATCACTGAGAAAGGCTTCGATGAGCCCAGCTACCCCGAAGCTAGGCTGACGTCAATGGCATTGTTTTGCCGGTGTATCTTGCAGCAACATTTCACTAATTACGTCACAGAGTATTGTGACGTAGCGATCGTAGCAACGACTGTCGTAAGCCTATGTTAAAGTATAGGAGTTACAATCACCATAGCGCTACGATAGCTTTGTTTAACTACCTCCGAGTTCTAGACGTATTAAATTAATACCTGTCAATGTGTTATGTGTTTGAAGTATAATTCTGTTAAACTCAACCGGATTGCATTGTGATTGAATAGATGTGTGCCTATTAACAGACGGCAACGGCAGCATCGGCACCGATCAAAATGCGGCTTTGAACATTCAACAGGTAGTTGTCAGTAGTTCACTAGCAATCCCTGCATGCGATCTGTGACGATCAGGGTTAAAATAGATCCTCGGCAACCTATACTTGTCGTTAGTGGCTACCAACGCGATCGGGTGGTCAGGCTCGCTGATCCCAATTGCGTAAATCGATGCTCATGATGTCTGGTCCGGTTTCGCTTACTTACAGACCGCCTTAACAGAGCTGGACTATTGCTAAGTGAGGCGTTAAACAACAAACAAACAAAACTACCTGCATGCATTCTTTCCAGTGCAGACAATTATGTACATAATCCGGACGCCGCAAGAACCATGTAAGGTATGTATATTGCAGACTATAACATTTTATTCTACAATCATCATAATGGGTAAAGCATAAGAAAAAAATAACATGTACTATCAACTCCATCACAGCATACTGATAAAAATAATCCGAAAGAGCGTGGATCGTTTGATGGATTTGTAAGGAGATAGCTTTTGTCTGCAGCTTCTCGGCAATATTGGAGTCTGATTCCAAGAGTAGAAGGGGCGGTGGGGTAACCTAGTGGATAAAGCGATTGGTCGTCACGCTGAAGTCCCGGATTCGATTCTCCAAATGGATACCATGTGTGAAGCCCCTTTCAAGTGTTCCCCACTGCGATAATGTTGGAATATTGCTAAAAGAGGCATAAAACACATACTCACTCCAAGGATAATAAGTAGTTATTTGATCAGAGGTTTGACCATAAACCCTTGAGCGTACATCCACAACTACGATTACAACATCAAACACTGACTACCAAATGTTCGTCATAGTTGAATTGTAACAATAGATTTGATGTCAACTGTTGGATTGTACTCGTACCTCATCAGAAAACCACTCTCACATATGTTGAAAATCGGGTCATGGAAGTTAAATAAAGGCAACATATTGAGACTATGTTGATTCCGGAAGGAGAATCAACGCACCGCGAAGGAACGTGTTCAGGTTACGTCCGCCACAAGCAGATTCGAGTGATTTCTCCAACTTAAACCATGTTGTGATTGATGTATAATTTATCTGTGCTTTTTCATAATGACATATAGTTGAGTCGGTTTTACTTGTCCAAAATGCACGTACAGAAAGGCCAGTGAATTCTGGCTCCAGAGAATCAACTACAACAATAGCGTGACGTCATAATAATGGTTTAAGTCTTACCAACCTACGATTGACGCCAGTTTGTCCTTTTGTCAGGTTCTAAAAGTGGAAGACATTCATCAATACGTTTAGTACTTGTGTTTACGGAACTGATTTAATCAATGTCGTGTAGAGTTTGACTTGTGGGGGTTGATGGCTCTAAGGTTACACACAATCTTCGGTATTGGAACCTAATGGGTAAGTGGTCCAAGTTGAATAATATGGTAAGAAAAAGTTGTTGGGTACCACATCGTGACTAAATGTACCAACAGTCAAGAGAAGATAAACGTAAACTAAAGGCAGTAGTTAGGTTGTCATATTTCCTTTATTAAGATTTAATCTGGACTTAAGAGTGTCACTTTGGCGTTAGTTCTGATGAATCAAGGTTCCACCGTAACTGGAGTGACTATGTCCGAAGACAGTGGTTTGGTGAGCTGTCTGAAACCACACTTTTTCTCCTCGCTTGACTTGTATAATGTATGATAAACTCGCAGATGTCTCAACACGGGAGGCTGCGAGGGCTAAGCGTCTCCCTTCCTTGTATAGCATAACGTGGACATGGTTTTCTTTATACGGTAGTATGCTTGCCCAGAACAGGTAGGTGCCGGTCACAGGAGCTTCAAATATGCCGGTAGGGGCGTGGTACCCTCCGCCAATGTTCAGAGTTACTGTGTCAAACTTGAAGAATTGATTTCCGGAGAGAGAAACCCTTGGTATGCTGGTTGTTACCTCAAAAGACACGTGGATCCTCGATATTCCTGAAATAGCAGAAAGCAGATAATTTACATCAAACTTAATGAATGTCTAGAACTATATGAACATATTCATGAAATGTAAAGACCATTGATTGTCATGTGACATCATTATTTAACCCTCAAAATTCTGTTGTTTGAGTGACTAAAAATTAAATCCTATTCCCTCTTAGATCTACTTGGATTTCCGTCTTGGCTATTATAATTCATTTAGAATCTCCTCTTACATTTGACACACACATTTATGAATGTTATTTGTATGATAGCTCTTTGACCTGATTAATTGTGTACCTACTGAACTTTGATTAAATAGACAAATATGTAACATACCTGCAGTAAACAGTACAATTATTGACATATTTGGTCTGTTAAGCAATCATGTTTATGCATCATCCTGCAATCATTGAACAGTATAATTGTTGAGCCATTGTGGGTTGGTCAGGTTTCGTTACTGTTGTTTTTGTATAGTAATACGCTCTATAATGTTTCTGCATTTGCTGTATAATTAACTTGCACATTCAGTCATCTGTTCTGAGGGACGTACTATTTTGAGGCCAACGTTTTAAATACTTACTGTTGGTTTGACCAGACTTGTCCTGGAGTGTAGAGTTGAATGTCACAATCTGACGTTCCATGGCCACAAGTCTGGCGGTCACAGCTTCCAGGCGATTTGATATGTTCAGGTCGGAGCCTGCAGCAAGGGCTACAATGAAGAGAGCGCAGACAATTGCATTTGTACTTTCCAGAGAAGCATGTTCTTGCATTCATTTATAGTGTTTCAAGGGAGTAACTGCGTAATTTTCCACTTGAAGATGTGTGATGTGTCTGTCAACGTGAGCGTGCAATGTACACAAACGCTGATGAAAACATCGATTCTCTCATGCAGTGTTGATTCTCTGATTCCAGATGGGTCACACTTGAAATAGATGCAAACCAGACTTGTAATATATGTTAAGGTTTGCTTAAGTTTGCGTCTGAATGCATTTATCAGCTTGATACTGGGAACAGTGTGAATGAATCCAAATGTCAGTTTCAGATTTCATCTCAGAATTATAGCTTTAATTTAAAAGTACATTTGACAGTTGTAGACAGGTGCCTTATCCAATATTTCGATACATCACCTTGGTGGGCACCAACCATGGTAATTTGTTCACACTTCGTTACTCACTGGCAGTTACAGTTTTAATGAAACTTTGGTGAGGGGTAGGTGCTACCGGTAGAGTACCTTTTCGCGAACATCAGGTTTCGCCACTGATTTCAGTGATTTATTCATATAATTTTGATCATTTTCTTTTCTTTTATCCCCATTGGAAACTGTGTCGGTAGATACTCGAAGTGGGTATTCTTTGGTATTGACGTTTTGAATGTAAGACATTCAAATTACATTCCATCCACAACTATATTAAAATGTTTGTTTTTTTCCCGATTGTCAAACCATTGTCGCAATATATTCTAATGTCCAGGTCCATCTTGCTATCTGACATCTTCATTTGACTGATGAGAGTGGACACAGAGGACAGGGATGTCAGCACAACAAACACAAGTAGGACGATGTGCATCGGCTGGATTTCTGGTATGACAAGTGAACATTTATGTACTGTTGCTGGTATATATTATTTCGCACTCTGAAGTCACCGTCTACGACCTCATTAAGGGCGACTGTACACGATTTCTTATTCGGATTGTGAAAACAATCTTCTGGATGCATCTTTTGCACGTATTGAAACACATACGTGTATGTTTAAATTGAAATAAATATCTTTTAAATATCCTAATATAGGTGTTAGGTGTTACATTTTCAATGCTTAATTTAGATTAAAGTATAGGTAAACACTATTGCCCCAATGGGGGTTTTCAGTTTGAATCACGTGGCCAGTATTATAAACACCTAAAGAAAAACGCACAATGTTGTATGTGGCCTACAAAATATTCGAGTTAAACACGTATTTTATTGGATAATGGTTTTCCAAGTTTAAGATCACGAACCGCTTTGAATCGATATAGGAATATATGAAACAATTGGTTTTCAGCCTCTCCCCTAACCAGATTTATTGATCTTTGCAAAGTGACAATCCCCCTGATTCAACTTTTCTTTGCAAACTAATTGACATTGGTGCGAGAGAACAGTTGTCCATGTTTGACAAAACGTTAGGGGACTATACTTAATAAATTATACTTTTATTATTAAACTTTATACCGTTTATGCAATTCTTATTGCCTGAGATGTCAACATGATAACACATGTACCTTTTCTTGAATTTGACTTTATGACAATAATATGAAATGATAACCGTTGTCCAATCTGTGCCACGTGACTCTGAGATTGTAATCAGTCGCTTTTAATTACATGTGAATATTTTACAAGAAAAACTGTATTAAATAATGAAACAGATGTATGGCGGATACAGAGAGGATATCTCAAGAATGGTGCAGCCACAAGTACAAATGCCAACCTTGTCAGGTCAAGAAAATACATAATTATTTTATCAACATGTGTATTATATATTTTCTTCTCGACCTTTCTATGACAGCCTTAGAGTCACTGAGAAAGAATGAAGTAAGTTTAGGCCTAAAGCGTTATTTCACTCATGTGTGATATCGAGTTTATAATTTCAGAAAAAAAACACGGCATATATACTAAACGGTGGATCTAATCCGTCCGTCACATATACAATTCATATAAATAATCTTCCCCGTGTTTTATCTGCATGTAGTTGCCTGCATGCCTTAATGTCATCCGTCATATATACTCTGCAAAACAAAACCCAACAGAAACGCAAGGGATTTTAGATGTATTTTTTACATATCATATAAATAGTTAACAGGTGGTAATCCTTTGTCAGGGACCATATGGCATAAATAGAATAGTAGATTTTCAAGGTGAAGGAAATCTGTTCGCAATATCTTGTTCGGCCACCATTAGGGTCCACAACTGACTGGCATTGTCGTCCCATGGAAGCAGTCAGTTCCTGAGAAGTGGCCTGAGGAATGCCCACCCACTCTGCGTGCAGTGCTTGAGCCAACTGTCGGAGAATCTCCGGTTGTTGCTGACGTGATCGCAGTCGTTGATCCAGTGCATCCCATAAATGTTTGATTTGTTTACATTTGGAGACCTGGAGGGACATTGCAGAGCCTGAATGTTGTTATTTCTGATCTACCAGTGTAGGTGATGGCTGCCCAATCATCACACTACCACCTCCAAATTTGTCCACTTCCTGTATGCAGTTTCGTGCATAACGTTCCCCGCGACGCCTGTAAACACGACGTCAACCATCCACACGGCGACGCATTAAACGTGCTTGTGGCCATACTCTGTGACCATGACACACCATTGACGTCGCAGCCGGCGATACAGTTAAGTCAAAATGACACCTCGAACTGGTTGTCCAGCGCGAATACTTTCAGCGCGAAAACGGTTGCTCACTGTCTGGGCTGATATCCTACGCAGTCCTGGTATTGCCGTTGTTATAGAGGTGGCCGTCGTGGTTCTTTCACGTAAGTGACATAGCAGTGTGAATCTGTCCTGTGCTCGTTGTCGACCGGATCAGCTGTGCCGGTTCCACAGTCTTGTAATGGTGCTTCGTGGAAAAACCTGGTTAGAGCCAAAGATGATCCTCCTGTTTGCAGTCGAACGATGGCGTTGGGTTCCCACCAGGCCTTGCAAGTTTTCGCTGTTCACTTGCTGTAAGATTGTGATGGCATGCAAATGCAAAACCCAACGTTTATATAGCTCAACAAGTGATGTAGCACGTGCATGTCATGTTGAGATGTTTCGGCGCCAGGCTCTCACCTGGCTGCGTTTTTTCGATTGTTCCATCTTTTCAACAAATTACTGCATAACCTCATTCTTTCCACACAAATCAATCCCAATCCATCAGTTTTGGTATTGAGGTTGTATGGATGTCCACAACACTCTGTCACATACTTACGATTTTACTACTCTTGCGTTTCTATTTTAGCTGAGTATATCAGCAGTTTTGTAGTTGTATCCGTTATATATTCACGAACATTATCCATCACAAATGAATAAGATTTTCTAACATTTTTTCCCGTATATTATCCGTCATATATTGAAGCCGCACTTCATGAAGAATGGATCCGTTTGCCTCAGAGAAGCATTCAACGACTTGTAATGAGTATGAGGCGTAGGGTTGAAGCTGTGGTCAATGTCCGTGGATCATACACACGTCAATGTTTTCTAATCCTTCAATTTCTGGTCTTCGGTAATATTCCTTTCTGCTCATATTCTTTTGGAACACAAGATAAACTTGCTTTGGGACAACTTTTGCATCACATGAGGATTACATATTACGGCTTATAACAATAGTACATCTCGTTATAATATTCATCATTAAGTGCCAAAAGTAACAGCTCACAAATATGGTGGTGGCACTTAACTTTTGTGCATGAGTATATATCTGGCTATGGCAATCGGAGGTAAATTTATGATTGTAGAATCAATACAATTTTTAAAAAAAAGGCTGAATGGTGCTTTAGGAATTACAGACAAATTTTGATAATGTGAATACCAGTATATAAATATATTTGGAGTAGTGCCGCCTGGTGATAAGTTGTCACCACGCACATTTGACGAGCTCCGTTGATATTTCCGACTACGAGCTGTTAAAACATATTGAAACAGCGTGAAGACCCGTAAGTTACATGAATTTGTTCAGAACAAACTGGACTGCGATGATGTATCGTTAAGCCATAAGATTGCCCTGGATATGGACCAGACCTGTCCTGCCATGATGAGAGATAGCCGCCCACATCATAACGCTACCACAACCAAACCTGTCCACTTCCTGTACGCAGTTTCCGGCGTAATGTTCTCCCTGACGTCTGTAGCCCCGTGCTCTTTCATCCCCTCGACGGAGGAGAAATCTTGATTCTTCGCTGAAACAGACATCTCTTCGTCGCAGTTGAAGCCATACCCTGTGTTGACGACACCAATGCAGTCGTTGTTGACGATGTTGTCGACTCAATGTGACACGTCGAACAGGACCGCTGGCTTGTAGACCTGCTGCTCTTAAACGGTCTCGCACGGTCTGATCGGAGATTCTGCACGGCCCGGGTATTTGGGATGCGTTTGAGGTGGCGGTGGTCGTCCTTTCGCGTATATGGCGTACTCGGCTGTAGCGATCTTGGGCGGGGGTGGTTACTCTTGGTCGTCCCGACCTTGGCCGATCATGCTGTTGAAACCGATCCCATAGGCTTGTGATGGTGCTGGGCACTTCATTGAAAACCCAGGCTACAGCTGATCGGGATTCCCCTGCTTGCAAGCGGCCAATGGCGTTGTTTCTTTGCACAACATCTTGGCATGTTGTTGAACTGTCACTGTTCGAGGCACGCAGATGCCAGGCGATCAAAAACCCTGCACTTTAATAGCGTTCATAGCGCTGCTGCACGTGCAGTGCGTGCAGCTCCATTAGCTTTTTGTTAATGCACTGGGTGCATTTTTCCGAATCGTGGAACCGAATCGTGTTTCCCGACTAATGGTTTGCATGTCCTTCTTATGATAATTTTGATTCGGGAAATTTGTCACTGACATTATAACACATTTAACCCCTTCATTTTGCACCTCTTTGTCCGCTTATTCTGCTTTGATGCTAAAAATATCCATTTTGCGTTTCCTTTTTTGAAGAGTATATTTCTGTGACCCCTTCCTACACTGTATATCATTCCGACTAGCGAGCTATACTTTACTTATTTCTGTGATCCCTTCCTACTCTACTTTGGCGTCATAAAGCTCTCCCGATGGGAAGTCGAAGCAGTAGTCATGACGTCACAGTACGCAACCATCAAGTTGCAATAGTCAAACGTCAACCTTCGTCGATGTTACTACATGTAACAATACACTCTATAAGTATTTGTTCGTCAAATACTCTACCTGAAATATATTCCAAACTCGCTGTAATTAATGTAGGAACCTCAACGTTAATAAAGTAAGATCACTATTTGAAATTTGCAAGCGGACGTGTTTGCGAAAGAAGTGCCTCTGAATAAATACTTTTTTCAGTTATGCGGTCAGTTCTCCTACGTGGACTGACTAACGGTTGCAAATGCTGACTACTTACTACTACAATATCAATATGATTTATTCAGAATGTAGGCCTTTCGCCAGTAACCTGTCCGAGTGATTACATTGCATAATGTTTTAATTTATAGATACATTTGCAAATTCGAGTGGCTTAAAGTGATACGTTGTGTTTAAAACAGCATTCGTAAATAGGAAACAAATTCATCCTCAGAAAATACATTGAAAAACGTTGATCTGTCCAATTCTTCCTTTGGATAAAACTGAAATATAAAAAGCTCCTACTTTCCAGTCCTCCTTTTGTTTGTTTAATATGTTTAATATATATAATAATATGTTAATAATATGTTAATAGAATATGTTAATGTGTTAATATGTTTATATATATATGAAATATATAAAATATTGGATAGCTGTGGATATTTCTCTCTGTAAACTGTTATACATTGGACAAACAAACAGAAAATGTTTTTCATTTTCCTCAACAGACAAAGTCGCCCTTCTCTTGGAACAAGTTTTCACTTGTGTGTAAACTTTCCACATCGACATCTACTAAGTGCCTACCAAGTCACTTTTTAAATTTAAATCACTTTATGTAGGAGAGACACTTTTCTATTTGTAGATATAGTTTAAGTTGACTGTATACTTCTAGTTTATGATTATCACGAATGTTAGATTTCCATTCCTGAAAGCGCACATCTTTGTGTCGTTGATTAAAAGCAGAGATAAAAGTATTAAAACAGCCAACACCTTGAGCAAGCAAAGTTTTCCAAATCCTAAAGAAAATAATCATGTACGTATATCACCAGCCCAAGTCCTACGACTAGCATTGTCAAGGGGTATAAGCAGAAGAGTGACATTTCAATATCTATTCTATATTTACAATTAAATCTTAAAGGCACAATGTTGCTTTTATGGCGCTTATTGTGATAAATGCAAATGAGTTCAGCTTCAAGATAAATCAGTAGTACTGATCACACCGGGGTACTTGTGAATACCTATTGCATGATGTGCCTAGTTCTTCAACGTGGACAGGCGATGGTGTGTGAGTTCTTACTGTTTGACGTGCCAAGTTCTTCCATGTGAACAGGCGATGGTGTGTGAATACCTACTGCAGGACGTGCCAGGTTCTTCCACGTAGACAGGCCAAGGTTTCGTGAATACTTACTGTTTGACGTGCCAAGATCTTCCATGTGAACAGGCGATGGTGTGTGAATACTTACTGTTTGACGTGCCTAGTTCTTCAACGTAGACAGGCGATGGTGTGTGGATACTTACTGTTTGACGTGCCTAGTTCTTCCACATAGACACATACCTACTGCATTACTTGCCAAGTTATTCCACGTAGACAGGCGATTGTTGGTGAATACCTCCTGCATGACGTACCAAGTTCTTCCACTTGGCCAGGCGATGGTAAGAAACTGATTAGCAAGACTTACTGCATGTGCACGGGGTTCTTCTCTCCAATGGAGTTGATTTAAATGCAAAAAGCTGACGTTCCACAGCCTCGAGTCTGGCGTTCATGTTTTCCCCATCTCTCTGCTTGTCTGGGCTGGACTCTAGGGTTAGGGTGAAGAGAGCGAAGGTAAGAAACACATAGGCTTCCATGATGTCTCTAGTATGGATACAACCAGACTAGTGCTTCTTCTGCCCTGCTTAATGTTAATGTAATAAACTAAATGAATAGTTGAACCTCAATGAGTTTTATAATCGGTCTATCTAATTATTATGTCTTCATATTGAGGTACAATACACATATGCTATAAGAAACGCGTTTTTTATGCTAGAGACTTGCAAGATTGCAATACTTACTTTTGCTACTAGTTGTTCTGCCATTGAAAGCCAGTCGGGCAATCACGGAATCCAGTGTACTTGATTTGTCTAACCCAGATCCTGCAGCGAGAACTAGTGATATCAGAGCGACAATGCTGCAAATGATGACTTTCTCCATGATGTCAGTTGTGTACAGACAGCTGGCATCAAGCGTTCATTTATACTGTCCGGGTACGTTGTATTTGCCAACATGTTGCAAAGGTGTGATATATATGAAACTCCAATATGTCCACAACAACTGATCTGATATTTAATGCGCCTAAAGAGCTGATCACACGTATGTTCTGAACTCCAGATGGCACACACCCAAAATTAATGCAAACCAGACTTGTATGAGTTTGTATGCATGAGTAGACCAAGTAGGTTAATGCAATAATATGAGTAAACTGTGATTGAAGGATTTGGTATCTTCTCATTTAGGCTAAAAAGACGTACAGACAATGATGCGCCATTATTGAAGCATCACTGATTTTCATAAATGCCATCATAAACAAAGAAAGCTGGAACAAATTGACAGTAGCATTTTACTCATTTTTTGTTGGATAATGATCAGATAAGAAGGGATATGAAGTAGTGGACAACACAGAACATCTACAACAAAGACGAGAGAAATGGGTTTTACACGTACATTTAGTATCATAATCTGTAGATTCATAATACATATAGTATTTTGTCATACCACATGTGATTGTTTAATTCTTCAAGTCGCCTGCATAGTTCCCTCTCCAGAAGTTTTCCTTCTTGACAGAGGACCCATTGCTGAGGAGCAATGAAATATAATTGCAATACTGTTAAATATAGCTTGAAATCCAGTAATATTCCGACTATAAAATCGAATTTGGAACAGACAATCCAGTGACTGACATCATGAGCATCGATGACATGCATCAATCAAGTGAGCGAGCTTGACCACACGATCCCGTTCGTCGCCTCTTACGAAAGAATGGGTTGCTGAAGAACAATTCAAACCCGAAATCTTCACGGAATTGCATACATCTAATTAATCCTACATTAAAATGTAAACATATCATTCCAGTTGAGCATTTTTGTTGGGCATTTGGCGAAGGTTGACATGGTTGACTTATGTAATTCTAATACTTTATTCTTTCGATGCGACGGTGCAGGTTCTTGTAGAAGTAGTCATCAATTAGGTAAGATATTATTATAATGGTATTACAGCTAATATTACATATACACTGAGATCAACAAAAACACGAAAATGGGCGATAAGTCGCATATGATCTTTGACATATATACTATTCAAAATTAGGATTGGGCCGCTGCCGTCCACTTACGAGTAATGGTCATGACCGCATTCCGGATCCATTGTTTCGTACATTGTGTACGTCAGATTCAAGTGGATCTGAATACAAATCAGCTTGAATAATATGTTGTCGTGGTCCACGTAAAGTCGTTCATTAAAGACATGGTTTGCAGTAAAGATTTAAGCAGTAACTGCCACGATTTATCAAACATTCATTCACTTGACGAGGGAGTTTGTTCAATTCCTCTTACAGACCCTGGCCAACTTCAGAAAACGTGGTCGGTGGGCTATGACCTTGACACACACGTCTCTCAATCATGTCTCAGACGTGTACAAAGAGGGAAAGTTCTGGGCTCATTGTTGGCCATGAAGTTCTATGGACGTTGTTTTCCTGGAGATGAGCATTGACGATTCATGAACGGTGAGCGCTGTCGTCCTGAAAGACTAAACGTCGACCCACACGCCTTGAAAACGGGCCAAACATAGGATGACAATATGTTGTCCCCATAGTTCTGTCCAGTGACCCTTCCTTGCTAAATACAGAGTGGGGTTAGGCACAATAGCGAGGAAACGCTGTACTTGAGATTTGCGTTCCGTATCGTAGTCGTATCGATTAGTGGGCTCACGTTTATCGTATATCGTATCGTGGGTCAAGAATCGCGATGCATCGGAACAACGGTGTATCGTTTTACCCATACCTTCCATGTCTGTTGAGCAGAAGAGGGTTGTCTATATCAGACCTCGTGCCAGAGATTTTATTACAAATACTGAGGGCTGGACGCAATGGTCTCTCTGGATTGGGTTTCTTGTCTACCACTCCACTGGGCGTTAAATGGGATTGGCCGAGGGGCCCTGGATTTTGTTTGACCTGGTATCCTCCCCTCCCTATGCCCGGGGGTTAGAGTATGTCACTGGTGGACATTCATCACCTCCACAGTGCTGGGCATTGTCACAGAACTCTGCCTTGACACTTCCATACCATATACCTCAGAACTAGGTCTAGACATGGGTGCTTTGGCGAGACGGCCACATAAAGGATCTTCAGGGTTACTGGCTTCCAGGTTGGTAAGATCTTCAGAGAAAATCTCCATGTCCCTGCTGAAATCTTGAGAGGCCGTCTGCCACGGGTCATAGCAAGTGGTATGACTGGCCTGCAAGTTGATCTCCGCTTGTCCCAGTTGATTTAAGTTTGAGTTAAGATACTCTGCAAAAATAAAGAAACACAGAGCCAGATTTGTGTGAGGTAGGAAAATACATTTATACGAAGAGCCGTACAAGGTATTCAGCCAAAGTGTTGTGGTGAGAACACATGTTGATTGTAGTCATCTCAGTTATCGGTACATAGGAAAAGTTCAAGGTGAAGGTCAGCTACCATCAATAACGCGTATGTCCCCCGTTGGAATCGATAGCGGTCTGACATCTCCTGCTCATTGAAGAGAGTATTCGAATCACATCCTTGGGAACGGTAGCCTACTCGGCCTGCAACGTAAAAGCCAACGGCTGCAACGTCTGGGGTTGTGGTTGACGTTGACGTAGCCGTCTATCAAATTAATCCCACGGGTCCTCTATCGGGTTCGAATCCGGAGATCTGGAGGGCTAGGGGAGATCATCAACGTTGTTGTTGTGAAGACAGGCGCTTGTGATCCGTGCTTTATCCGGTCGAGTGCTGGAATACACCGTCGTTATTGACGACTCGACATGCCGGGTCGAACAGGACGTCTTGCTCGAAGACCTGCTGCTCTTAAAGCGGTTTCGTACGGTCTGGCCGGAGATTCTGTTCAGTCCGAGTATTTGGGATGCAGCTTCATGGCCCTTTTGTTGATGCACTCGGTGCGCTTTTCCAAATCGTACGTGTTTCCCGACTTATGCTTTGGATGTCCTTGTTGTAATCATTTTGGTCCGGACACCATAATACATTAAACCTCTTCATTTTGCAAATCTTGGTCCGCCAATTTTGCTTTTATTGCCAAGAATATGTGTATTACGTTGTTTTTTTAACTGTAGAGCTTCCATATCAGGGCTAGGACCTGCTTGCTGGAACACTTGCATAGCTTCAGACAACCTACTCCGGGTACTTTCAGTAACAGGAGTACACTGTTCATATGCTGATCTGGGTGGCCTCTGAGGTCGGGAAACTGTTCCTTCCCTGAGAAACTTGCTATTGGAGAAGCATGTTGCCCAACCATCCCGGGAGACCAAGAGCCTGATTAGAGTTCCTGATAGAGGTGAGATTACGAAAATCCTCATCCGTCAGTACCCCTAAGGTATCTTTGAGTTGTACAATCTTCCGGGCCAGTTTCATCCCTATTCCCGGAATAAGCCTGAGTTCTTCCTCAGAGCACAGATTAATATATACCGCTGGCATGATTTGGACATCTGAAGTATCCCCCAAACCTGACTAAATAATGAATAAGAAAGTACAAGTTACAAAAAACCCATGTTTGGAACGAATTCAATTAGGAAAGGTACAAAAGTGGCCGAGCATTTCCTACAATATTCTTGCTCTTGTTCTGCAACCTAAGGTCAGACGAAAGCTGAAGTATTTTACATTGAAGCTGTATAACATTAAACTAACCTAACTAAAGAGATATGGATATGACACTGTGTGTGCATGGCAAAAGGGAGGATTAGTGGCGGTTACAACCTGTATTGCGAGTTACACCTGAGAGACCATGGTGGCAGAAAAAACCTAAGATATACACTCAACCAAATCCCCCACCAGGAGGGAACCGATACCAACCCAAATAACATTGTGCTACACGTTGCTATTAGGATGAGGTAGTAGTAGCCGACTGCGGAGCCTGTCGTCTGAAGAAGGATAGTGCCAGTTGATCGTGAAGAATGGTCCACGTTTCCGAATGGACAGACTGCGGACCAAAAGAATGATGATAATTTCTGCTCTCCTTTTTATTATAATTTAGTAAGATAATTTCACAACTATTTCTTCTGGAAAATATTTTGATTTCAGAGACAAGATGTTTCTTCAGAGGAATGGTGGTGTTAAACCGAACTCTCTAATTTCTGTAGCTTTAAAAGCACTCCTTTATCATAAGTTAACAGACACAGATTGACATCTGGCTTCTGGAAAAATCCTTCTTATCAGCTTCACTTCTTCAAGTATTCAACGGGTGTGCAGAGATGCGTCCCTTGGACATCTCTGAATCTTATGATTGTGGGTTCGAATCCTGGTTGAGTGAGTGAGTGAGTTTTACGCCGCTTTTAGCAATATTCCAGCAATATCACGGCGGGGGACACCAGAAATGGGCTTCACACATTGTACCCATGTCGGGAATCGAACCCGGGTCTTCGGCGTGACGAGCGAACGCTTTAACCACTAGGCTACCCGACCGCCCCGAATCCTGGTTGAGCCCAACTCACTTACTCACTCAGTCACTTCACAGTATTCCTATGTTTCTTACAGTAATATGGCAATGAAAAATGTTTCACTAAATCCTCTTGAAAAA